CCCCTGCCATGGCCACCCCGGGGACGTCCAAGCTGCAGCCTCGGACTGCAGGACCCCAGCCCGTGGTTTTATCCATTTTTAGGATTTTGATTTACATTTTAAACTTCTTGCAGGCACCGTGACCGTGTTTCTCCGGAGCACGGCGAAGGCGTGCCGGGCTCGGAAAGAGCTTTACGTGGACGTGAGGAGCGGTCTGGGGCGGGAGCTGCTGTCCGGGCCGTGGGAGCCTTCAGGGAGTCGGCACTGCAGCTCCCGCTGAACCACTGCTCCAGCGGGGACTCATTAGGATGGGCCTTAAACAGTTTTCACAGAAGGCCAGCAATTAACGCTGTCCACACCAGCCAGCTCCTGCTGGAGAAAACAATGCAGAGCTTGAGCTGCTTTTTAAAAGCGTCCCCATCTCCCAATTTCCCAGGGCTGTTGTGTGCTGACTGGATCGGTTCAGGATTATGCTCCCTGTGTCTAGAGGGAGATGCAGGTTTAACCCCTCTATTAACCCAATACCAAATAATCTACTCATTGCCTGTAGGAGTGCCAGGTTGTTCTGTTTCAGCAACAGGAGTGGCCTCCTCAGCACCTCACAAAAAACCCCTCCAGTGCAAGCATGGTACAGTGAGATGGGCTGACAGCAGGTTGGGTGCGAAATCTATGCTGTGGGGCTGCTGGTGCAGGCAGCTGCATGGAATGAAACCTGCCTTGTCCAATGACTGATATATGGGGCCAAACTGCCTGTGCTGTGAGGCCACACATTACCTCCATACCAAGCCTGGGAATGAAAAAGGTTAGCTGTCCTCTCCTTTTAAAATGTTCTTCCAGCCTGCTGCAGCCTGTGTGCTGACAGCTGCAACTTGTTGAGATTTTTTCCTTCCTGTTTATAATTTTCTTTTTCTATTTGCAATGAATCATGAATGACCAGATTGTGCATGATTTATGCGCATCCTGGAGCCCTGCTCCATAAGTGAAGCCAGTATTGGTTCCTGTGGAACGTGGTGGTGTTTGCTGTAAGCAAAACCAAAAGTCTGACCTCAAGCATCATAGCAACAATTTTAGTCTATGTTTTGAGGGAAGCGAGCACTATGAGAAGCAGAAGTATTAGCAATGTTGTTTCTCGAATTGGAAGGAGAGGATCTCTTGCAGTCAGACAAGTAAGAGGCGTATGAGTCACAGCAGGCTGACCACATTTATTGCATGAAAGGCCTATGCTCTCTTGTCCAACCTGTCCTACACCCAGCTCTGCTGGAGCT